GTGGGAAGAAACAATGGATGACCAGAGGTAAATTAAGTGGGGTGTCCCATAAGACCAGGGCCCTAAACCTCCAAACCAAGAAACTACATCCCATATGGTGTCTGGCTGGACAAGGGGGCCTCAGAAGTTCACAGAGAAATGGGATTAAGACCATGGAGTTTCCTTTTGGACGCCTCCCCCCATTTAAACAGCCTGTGCAGCTGCTTTGGGCTGTTGCTGTAATTATTGCATGGCATTTGCCAAGTCCTTTTTAGAGAGGATACAACTTATTGGCATCGATTACATGAATTGGCTGTGCAATCTTCCGCCTTAATCAACGCAAAGTTCGCCTAAGTAAGCAACCTCAGTGCCCCATAGAAGGGGCCTCCCAACCCTCTTTGTCTCCTCCTCCGGCCCTGGGAGCCACGTAGGGACGTTAGTCTCGGTACACTTGCCTGCCCTTTGGACCGACTAGCGATGATCAACCTTTCGAGCTGTGGTCCTGGGACCCCAGTGGTCCTAAATGTATCCTGCCCTTGGATAACGAGGGCTCTCTTTTTCAGCCCCAGAGACGCTGGTCCTGGAGAGGATAATCCACAGTACGAGGGAGCGAGTCAGTCTACAAAGCTCAGGGATCCTCCAGGCAGAGGTATATCTTCTTTCCTTTCTCCCCAGCAGGCCCCAGGAGACTACCACAGCCACCTTTGGGGGTGTCCACAACCAACTCCCCACCTTCCCGAAGCGGCTCCTTAGCCAGCTTGGATCACCAGGACCAAAAGGACCACCCAGGTTGGAGTTCCATAAAAATACCTGCTCTGCTAATTTTACAGGGTTGTGTGAGGCTCAAGTAAGATATGCCCCAGCAATGCATGCATTGAGTTAGCTAGCCAGCCACCGTAAGTCAAAATATAAATGGACTGATGTGTGAATTGGTCAGAAACACACATCATGCATTAAGTATTGAATAGCCTCTCCAGCAATTCCAATGTGGGTGGAGACATGGTCCTGAGGGGCTGGGTGACCCTTTCTCTCTGCTTCCACCATCTGGCATCTCTATTCTTGCCCCACACTCAGAACGCCTGGTCAGCGACATTGTGGGCAGTTTCAGCAAGACAAAGGCTCCAACAGAACACAAGCCAGCCCAGCAGTCCCTGCCCCCCACCCCACTCTCTGTGAATGCCTTGCTGACTCCTGACAAAATGCAGAACAATCACTGAGCCCCTCGCCCCTCCCCCAGGCCTAGTTAATGGCTCCTATTAGCCCGTGGGGGAGAGCAGTGCCCTCCGCATTAGAAATTGGGCATTCCAAAAAAAGTAATAAAGGGACTGGCTCATCCTGCTCTCGACTTCTTCTCTAAGGAGTCAGAACTCACTGCAGATCCGACCCTGAGCGCGTCATGTTCACAGCTGTCATCTCATGTCCTGATATTCCCTAGGTTTCACCTGCAGTTCATTCCGACTTCCTCTACTCTACACCCTCTCCTTGGACGACCTCACGTATGTCCTCCTCTTCCTTGAACTTCACAGATATTTACACCTTGTGGCAATGACCTCATTCAGTTAGCAACCTACAAGTGGGCTTCAACTCCTTCCCCTCTCCTCTCTCTCCCATTTTGTCAGTCACCATTGTCCCACCAATTCCAACCCTTGGATCCCTACGCCTACACACTGACGGAGTGGCTTCTTGTCATGCCTCTCTTGGCGTCTAATCTCACTCCCTCTGGGTCACTCTCTATCCAAGTATCTATTACTGGTCATTTCCCTGGTTAAGATCCTTCACCAGTTCCTGAAGCCCTGAACGACTAAGCTCCCCCACCCCGCACCCTTCCTCATCTAGTCTCAGCTACTCCTTGCCTGCTCTCTTTACTCAACGCGAGACTAAGTAGTAGTGTACTTCCTGCGTTCATCAAACATCCCGTTCTGTTTCATTATCCAGCGCTTTCGCCTAAGCAGTTCCCTCTGCCTACGATGTCATGCCGCCCCCCTTCCTTGATAGATTAAGTCTGTGAATCACGGTTTATGGACATAGTCAGAATTGACTTGGTTTGTAGCAATGAGACGGGTAAGCAATCTGAAGGAAGAGAGTGAGTTAATGCGACGGACAGTCTGTGAGCGTGAAATAATACAAGAGATGTATGTGACAAGGGACCCCAAGCAAGTCAACCAAGTAACCAGGTGAGAGATGGATGATTGCTGCAACCCCCACAGGGAGGATGGAATGGAGAAATCCTGCAGAAACAATTCTGGAACCGTCTCATTATCTTCAAAGTATTCAGTGCTGACAGCAAGACCTTTCTAAAGGAAATCTCCAGGCACTATGCTCCTAAGCTTCAAAGGCCTAGAAACCAAGCTTCCCAGCGTTAGATGGGACGGAAAGGCTTGGCCAGGCTGACCCCTGGTGGAATGATTGTGCCATTGCACGCAAGACGGTAGACACAGAAGGTAGGCAAAAACCAGAGTACATACAGTATGCAAAGTGGGGATACTGGGGTCTGGGGGGGCACATAGGAGAGAAAATAATCCCTTTTATTAAGAATTCACAACTTAATGATGAGATGCATAGCTGTTGATGCTGCCTATTTAAACGTTCCCTTGGACACTCCTTAGAAGCCTGATGCGGTAATCCAAGAGAGAAATAAGGTGCTAGGGATTGCGTTACAATCAGATGTGGGAGATGAAGGAGGCTGAGAGTCAAGGGTCAGGTTTCTGGCCTGGACGACTGGCTGGACTTGGGGCACAGCTCACCAAGTCAGGGAGTATAGGAGGAGGTGTGTGGAGGAAGATGAAGAGGTTAGCTTCGGGAATGTTGGATTCGAGGTGACTGGGGGATAGCCAAGTAGAATGTCTAATAAGCTGTTGGACATACAGATCAACCTGGAACGCAGGAGAGAAATATGACCTCGGAGGATTAGCGTTCTTCTCCAACAGGTGATGGTGGGTTCACCAGAGTAGAGAAGGTACATTTCAAGCAAAATGGATACCATTTCAGGCAGAGGAATACTGTTTCTCAGGCAGCGCATGGGTCACTCACAGGTGATTAGAAGTCAGGAGGCAAGGTAAGGGAGGCAGATGAGATCTCCTTTCTCTCACCTAAAGGCCTCAGTACACACTGTCCCCTCACCTGCTTAATCACCTCTGCTTTTATGCTCCGGGCACTTCCGGGATAAACACTGCCCCATAGGCTGCATCAGGGCGTCTCCTTTGCTTCCTAATCATCTATAATCCCTCCCATCATTGCTCTTAGTGCATCTTATTGGAACCGCCAACATTCTCATCCATCTCCGCGGCTAGACCTCATAGGCCCTTGAAAGCAGGAATTGTTATATTAGAAAGAATGAACAAGGTAGGCAGCAGCCCAATCATGCAAACCCTACTGGCCATGACTTCATCCAGGAAGAAACGCAGACACATTAAATGTATAATCAGATTTACTATTTAGAAAACTCACTGGTGGGATGAGAATAAAAAACCACTAGCATGGGATTCAAAATTGGCAGATGGAAGTTAGGAGACCAGTTTAGAAGCTACTATGTTGCTACATTATAGGAAAAACCGAAAGAGGGCCACATCCAATTGGAATGGTGGCTAGGACTTTGAGAGTGGGAAACAATTTTCAGGGTTGTTTTTTTTTTTTTTTAGGACTGTAAACATTATGTAAACCCTCCCCTTCCCTAAGTCTGGGCAACTTTCCAAGACTTCTGGGGAACTGTCTGATTTTTAACAGCTTTATCTAATAAGGTATTTAATGATAAGACACCCAGGCTTGGTAAAGTGGAGGGGCAGCAAAGAGGAAGGCCATCGATGAGACAGATTGACACAGTGACTGCGGCAACGATTGAGAGGGCACCGCAGGACAGAGGGCAGAGCGGTGTTTCAGTCGGTTGTGCACTGGGTGGCTATGACTCAGAACTGACTTGATCACACCTAACAACAGACACCCAAGTTCCAAAAGTTCTCCATACTTCTGGGTGTCCTATCATTAAAGATATCCCTACAAACCAACTCCATTAGTACCTCAGGAATGCCGTCCTTGTTTCTGAAGGACCTTTCTTACTTTGAAAGAGTGTACAAGCCCACCAGTTTGTTATACACTTCCGTGCTATAATATCTGAAACCCCAAGGGGGCAGTTCTATCTTGTCCTATTCGACTCTATGGCAGTGGACTTGGTTTGTACTTATTTTAAAGCAACCTGTGGTAGATGTTTAAACTTTTCCCCCCTTCTCCAACACCTGTATCTCTAAAGTTTTGTATATTCCATGGGACTTGTTCCGTATTGCTGTATAAACTTCAAAAACATAGCAGTACATTCTCCATCACAGGGAGTATAAACAAGAAAAAAAAATTACTCTGCAATAGTGGCAGTAATTTCTCCATAGCACTGCCCACTTACAAACGTCTTATTTTTCTTCCTCTACATAGCTGAACGGTGTCAAAGTCTTACTGTCTTTTATAGGACGCCAAAAGTTGTTTTTCTGGAGGTGGGGGCAGATAGAAAAGGTGGAGGTGGGCCAGCCAGCTGATCCTTAGGTGGGCAGGTTGGAAATTTAGAAAGCAGGCATACAGGGCTTCATAAAGACCCAAGTGTTGGATGTGGGCTCCCTCAGTCACCATCGCCGAGGTTCCCGTCCTGCACTGGTATTTTCTTTTGGTTCATCTTGGAAAGCCAAGTATTGAGTTAAAATACAAAATCGACATTTACTGCACTTATTATAAACAACTGCCACTTACCCCGTAGTTCTACTTGTCAAATTGTAAAGTAGAGAATTCTCACGGAGTTTTTCCTAAGGGCTGGACATGCTACTAGACAACCAGGAATATTCAGGCACAGGTAGGTGGTCTGTCAAGCGCATACTTGCACCACCACGTGCTGGCGGGACGCAGCACGCCGCGCTGGCCGACGCGCGGCTCCCCGGGGGCGGGGCGGGGCTCGTGCGTCATCACGCTGCGCGGCCGCCGCCGCCGGCGACCACGTGCGCGGGATCGGGCCGAGCCGATGGCGGGGCCTGGGGCGCGGGGGCGTGCCCGGCTCGGCCTCGGTGCAAGATGGCGCTGCCCTTCGCACGTCCATTGCTCCTGTGCCGCTGGGGGGCCGGCCGGCTGCGAACCGCCGCGGACGCCCCGAGAGGTACGGGGGTCCCTCTTCGTCCTGCGGCCTCCAGAGCGGGCGGGGTCGGCCTGCAGTGCCCGCCGCCCGCGTCCCCGCCCCTTCCCATGTGCGTCGGCCTCGCTAATCCCACTGGGAAGCCATTCAATTCCAGGAAACGCTGCCCTTCCTCGAGTGCCCCAGCCCTGAGGCAGCCGGCGCGCGCACGCGCACGCGCGCGCGCACGTTCCCATCCCCCCCTCTCCCCACCCCACCGCCCGCGACCCACACCCGCTGCGACGTTTGCTGCTTCTCGGCTTTCTCCTCCTTGCCGCGTGACCGGCCGCTTGCGGATTCGGGCGCCTGCCCCCATGCAGTCTCTCTGCTCCGCCCACAGGCATCCATTTCAAACTGGAAGAGAAAACCGCCCACAGCAGCCTCGCGCTCTTCAAAGGTGATACCGGAGTCAAGTATGGTCTGGTGGGGCTGGAGCCCACTAGGGTGGCCCTGAATATGGAGCGCTTCCGAGAGTGGGCAGTGGTACTGGCGGACACTGCAGTCGCCAGCGGCAGGCACTACTGGGAAGTGACGGTGAAGCGCTCCCAGCAGTTCCGGATAGGAGTGGCAGACGTGGACATCTCCCGGGACAGCTGCATCGGTGTGGACGACCAATCCTGGGTGTTCACCTATGCCCAGCGCAAGTGGCACAGCATGTGGGTCAAGGAGAAGACCCCAATTGAGGGCATCGGTCAGCCAGAGGTGGTGGGGCTGCTGCTGGACTACGAGGCCCAGAAGCTGAGCCTGGTGGATGTGAGCCGAGTTGCAGTGGTTCACACGCTGCAGCCGGCCTTCCGCGGTCCCGTGGTACCCGCCTTTGCCCTTTGGGATGGAGAGCTGCTGACCCACTCAGGGCTTGAGGTGCCTGAGGGTCTTTAGTCTGTGGGCTACTGGAGCCCCGAATCATGTTCTCGGCCAGTCTTCTGTTGAGGTGTCTAAGCTTTGCCCCAAGAAGCCTTTACTTCCCAATTCACACTGGGTCCTGTGCAATATCTTGGCCACCTTTCTATCTACCTGGCCCTGTGAACGTGAGGCCTAAGCCACACTCTTCCCCCCTCCTTTCCCCTAGTTATACCAGTGTCCTGGGTCAGCATGGTGAGCCTTCTCTGAAGACTTGCTGACCCTGTACTCAGAACTGATTGGATGGATTCTGTTCTGGGCGAGTCTTTAAGCTCTGGTTGAATTTAACCACATTGATGCCTCTCCCTCCCCTGCCTGTGTGTAACTTTAGCTTGATCTTGGAGCTCCCCTGATCTACCAACTGTCTCCAGAGTAAAGCCTTTCTACCTCTGGCTGGAGGAGTGGTCCGTCGATTTGGCATTTCTCTTCAGTCCATGCAGAATCTGGGCACCTGCTCCCTCAGTAAGCGCGTTTTTGACCCAGTTGTTGGAGAACTCAGCCCTCACCCAATACCTCAGTGCCACAGCCTCTCAGGCCCTCACAGCTGCAGCCCCCCACCCTCTGAGTGCATTCGCCTGAATCTGCACGCCTGTGACACTTGGCAGCCCCTTCTAATCTTCATGCTAGTTACAATCATGACCAGAGAGGAGGAAGAGAACGCTTGGGAAAGATCTAGAGGGTTCGTGCTGGACAGTGTTGATTCTGGAGATGGTCTCTCCTTTTCTGCCACCATTGGGACTTCTCTGGAGGGTGGCCTGAGGTTTCCCACAGCCCACGGCTGGGCCTGCTCAGACTCACGCCCCCATCCCACTTGGTTAGCAGATTGCACTTAACCTATAGTAGTGTTTGGGGTCAGGGAAAAAAACCAAGTGGGGTGAATGAGTGCGTATAGGAACTATGTATTGTTGGGGCCCTGTCTGACCTGGAGGCTCTTATCTTTTTTTTAACCTTCGAGAATGGTGATCAAATTGGATACCCTTCGGGGAGAAAGAGATGGTCTGGGCTCAACAAAACTAATGATTTGTGTAATTAAAGTTTATTTGAGCACAAAATACTTTCTCTGTCTATAAAATTGTTATTAGCAGTAGCAGCATGTCCTGGCTAATGGGGTACAGAACCCCTCTCCTTCCTTCTCCACCTGGGACAGATGCATGTGTGTGACAAAGCTCGAGCCCCTCCCGCGGGGTGTCTTTCAGGCTTGGTACCTTCAGGGAGGGCACGGGACCCGGGGGTAGCCTGTGAGGGTTTTAAGTGGGACAAGCCATACAGCTGTGTCTCCAAGCAGACCCTGTGGGTGGCTCTCTTGCCACTGTCCACCGAGGTCCCTTTTCTGCACACTGTCTGCCAAGGGAATGGGGTAATTTCACTCTCACAGAAAGCACTGGCTTAAGTCACCAAATTGACTGCCGTGGATCCCACGGAAGCAGTGTAGCTCCTCACAACAGTTGTGGTGGTTATGGGTTTAAGCGAGTGGCGCCCGGGCTCACACCATGCTCTCCAAGTTCTCTTTGGACAGGGCCTCTGCTGCCGCCTCCAACTGAGTCTCGGACGGTGTGTAGGAGTCCTGGTAATCTTGAAGCATCTTGGCCACCTCCAGGTGGTTGAACTGCACAGCATCATCCAGGGGGATATTGCCCCACCTGAGCGGAACGAAGACCACCATCGGGCAGAGAAGACACTGGGAGTGCAAGGGTCGTGGACAGGTGTGGTGCCTGGAGGGCAGTGGCGAGCTGTCCCTTTCTGTTTAAGCCTACTCACCTGTCCTTGACAAAAGGATTCACTTTACAGGCTTCAATCAGGAACTTCACCACTTCGCTGTGTCCTGGGAATGCGGACAGAGGGGAAATGAAAGAGATGGCACAGCTCATGAACTCTGGGGTTGACATGGGTGCAGACCTGGCAGTTGGGGACTGTATCACGGGGGAGAGGGAGAGGCCTCTGCTCATCTTGCTCCTGCACCACGCAGCAGCAGTGTGGCTGTGAGCTAAAGGGCACCGGGACAAAGCTCGTTGCTGCCTCTTCATCCGTGAGGACGTGGAACGTGAGTGCCCGTGGTAGAAAAGGACGTTCATGTAGCTAAGGGTGCCTAGATGACGACGTAGTCTTCCGGGGAGCATGGTGGCACAGTGGCTAGAAGCTCAGCTGCTCACCAAGACGGCAGCCCGCGGCTGCTGCTGCTGCTGCAGAAACTTGCAGCTTTTGACATCCTAATGGGCCCTTTCTACCCAGTCCTGTAGGCTCACAATGAGTCAGAATCTACATGTTAGGGTCTTACCAGCTGGTGCCCCCTCCCATTCAACCCTTTGGTTACCTTCAGCTGCAGCAACGTGCAGGGCTGTGCGGGAGTCATAATCTTTCTGCTCCATGTCCATGGCTGACAAGGCAAACCTGAGGGCAGAGGAAACAGCTGGCGGGATGCAGATCTGCCCAGAAGCACTAAGGTGCTGTCTGGCATGGATTCCAGAACAAGTAAAACAGCTAAGTTCAGGCAAAGAGCTGCAGGCCCTTGTTGTGTGGCTACACTAGCGAGATGAGGGGGGGATAACTCTGGAAATGTTGCTGTAGACCCACGGTAGGGGTCCAATACACATTTGTGGGTGTTGGGTCACTTATTCCAGGTAAGGACCCTACCTGCCAAGTCTCAACTGCTCCAGCCTAGGTTAATAATGACTGTGGCTGCCAGTAAGTTCTTCCAACACCGCAAAGAAGCCCTGATGGTCTAGTGGTTACTCATTGGGCTAGCGTTCCCATGGTCGGCAGTTCGACACCACCGGGCTCTGCACTCCTGTAAACCCTGACAGGCTTGGAAACCCACGTGGTGTCCCTGTGAGTCAGCGTCGACCCGATGGCAGTGAGTTGGGTGTGTTTTTTCTTGAGCACACATGGCAAGACACTGTCCTTTTTAAAAATGTCACATGAAATGCAATCTCCAAGCTAAAGACATAACTAAGGCCCTCCCTGGGGTGACTAGTCAGCCGTTCAGACAGCGCCTCCCTGCCTTGGGCCGTGGACATTCGCCCTCACGGTGAATGGACTGAACCAACCCCAACTCAACAAATTCTTCTTCACAGCCACCTTCATTTGTTGCCTGCAGCTTTGAAATCGGTGAACAGGCCCTGCGCTTGGTTTTGCACTGCACCAAGGCTAAATCAGGACCACAGGCACCTGCAGCGACTTACCCCACAAATTCTTAAAGACCCCATTAGAATGGATCTCATTGTAACCCGGGGACTAGGTTTTGCTATCTGCCTCCTCATGAGATTGGTGGCCAGGGCTGTTGTACTGTGTTTATTTGGTCACAGCAGAAGTACCTTCGAAGAGCCGAGACATCTCCACTATAGGCAGCAAATAGCAGGTTCACCACCGTCTTGTTCTGAAACAGAAACCATCCGCACCTGAGGAGAGCATCTGTGACTTGGCTCCCAGCCCTGCCTGTGACCTTTTCCCCCACTCCACCCCGCCCCCTCCCCCTGCTCAGCCAAGGGCTGTGCTGCTGGACTCTTCTGATCACAAGCCGTCCGTCCGGGGCTCTCCTACCCGGACCTCGCCTCCCTCTCGCCGCGGGTCCAGCTTCCGAGCGCAGTGCCGCAGGTTGTCGTAGTTGTGGAAGTTGAAGAGAGACACCAGCCTCTAGAATTGCAAGCCAGAGAGCTCGCTTCCTGACTCGTGGCACGCAGCCCGAACGTGCTCAACCCTCCTCTCCGCAAGCCACCTGACCTGGCAGAAGCTGATGCCTCGGTGGCTGTTCCCCAGCTTGTCCAGCGGTGGTGACAGACACATCATTCCCATGACGTTGGGTACCACCAGCAGGATGGCTCCTGACACAGCTGATTTGGCTGGCAGACCCACCTGAGGGACGGAGTGGAGGCACCCAGTGAGGGAGACCCAAATGATTGCATGGGCAAGGCCACCATCTCTCTCCCTTGGCCTTTTGGCTGGTCACTGCCTGCTCTCCTGACTCCTAGCCCTTGCCGTGCCCCACGTAGTGCATTGACTCAGTCTGGAAATCGTTCTGACGCTGGAAGCAGTGTGAGAAGGACCAGGAGGAGATAAGCTACTAAACGGGTGAACACATAGGCGAGAGTAATCACAGCTGGCAGTAAAAGCACAAGAAGGGGTGTGGGATGTAGAAGGGGGATCACGTGAACAGGATGGTGCGGGGCTTTGAAGGGGGGCAACGCAAAAGTGGTCCCAGCACAGAAACATGCGTTAATTCATGTTTGAGGAGCGGGATGTTTGACAAACTCCCCCAAGGATTCTGGGTCTAATCGCCTGGCTCAAACATGCTCCAGAGATTTAGTGTCCTAGCTTCTTGGCACTGGGCTCGTGGGAAATGGGGGACGGGGCCAGAAACACTCACATGGAAGGCAAACTGGCCAGAGAAGTCGTACATGCCGCAGGAGTGCATGAGGCTGAGGGTGTTGCGCACTGCTTCAGCGCTCAGCACACTCTCTCCGGTGATGGGGCAGATGCCGCCGTTGGCCAGGGTGGCTGCCATGACACTGCCGGACTCACAGGTCACCTCCAC